GGGCGGCGCTGCCCCCGCCCCGCCAACCGCCGGCGCGTCCCGGCTGGGCGGGGAGGGCGCGCCCGAAGGCACAGGGTAGCGCAAGGCACAATGGCACCGAGGAGGGCAGGAGGAGGGCGGGGAGACCCCAAACCAGTCTGCAGCACCCGTGACAGCACCGTGAGCCGTGACAGCATCGCGAGAGGAATCCCAGAGCCAAATCCTCCTCACCAGCTCCGTGCCCTGGTCCATCAAGGCACTGTGCAAGTGGTGGGCTGTGCTTGTTAGTAATTTACGACAGGAATGTCTTAAGGCAACCAGGTAAAGTTAGTTAACATTTCAGTAATCAAAATAGCTTTGCTCAAAAAAGCAGAAAATGGGCTGAAAATACAGCAGGTTTGAAGTGGAGAGGCTGAAGATGGGCCCCTTCAGATGACTGGAGTTTCTTCCTGTAACTCATGAAGACAGACTCCAGACTACAAAAAGAAGAATCAAGTTGGACAAATGACAATCTCATTCAGCCCCTCACCATAACAATCCTGCATTTTAAGAATTTAAGATCCTAGAGATGGGTAAAGAGGGATTTAAGAGTTCCTAGTGTTGGTTTTCCTAGTTTCAGTTTTCCTCTGTGCTTGCACACTGATGTTTCTCACCCAAGATCACCTGCCTGTTGCCAATCCTTACTGCAGTGTTTGTTACTGTATTACAACACAATCTTTCTCCTTTAAAATTCATGGGGATTACATGAGCATCCAAAGACTAAACTATATGCTCCTGAGTTCCTATCCTGACCCAACATTACCATTTCATCAAAGCCTCTACTTGAAAAAACCCTCCCTCCAACAGCAGTGCAAGAGGAGCTGCCACTCTGAAAAGGACCATTCAGCAAGGAGATGGAACCAATAAAACAGTTCCCAGATCAGGGAGGCATATGATATTTCTCCTTATACCTCTGCAAGATGCAGCTGTAAGAATGAGGAACCTTCACTTTTTAAGTTCTTGCTACTTTCACCCTTTTCACTCCACACACGTTGGAGCTTCAGCTCATGAAGCTTCCATAGTGACTGCAATTTACCATTCATGGCAGGAAACAGTTGTTAAAGCAGTCACTGCTATTTCTAATTGACATTACTTTCATTTTAATATCCTGGCTTTACTTAAATTGTACCAGCCAGGGAATTAACACCATTTATGCCAACTCAGTAAGAAAGCCCCTTTTTGGTGAAACTTACCAATAATGAGGATGACGATAATGACAACAACAGCTATCAATATTGCCCACATCTGTGAAAAAAGCCACACAACACTTACTACAAACCACACAGCAGCATTAACTGGCCCTTAAGCTACAGAAGGACAGCCCCTGCAAGGTGCTTTTGCACTGTGTGCAGATCTAAGAGGGCAAGTACAACTTTTTCAGTTGAGTGAGAGGGATTCCCCGTTAGCACTGGGAGCTGGTGGGCTGTGCAGGCAGGCAGAGCAGCCCAAACCAGTGGGGGCTTCTGCAAGATGCCTCCATGTGGGGCCCACCTCAGGTGACTACACAAGCAGGAGTCATGAACTATTAATCATGATTTCTACTCTTACCCCATGACATATCTTTTACTGTGTCTGTCACTCACCAAAATGATTCCAACATTCACCCACAGCTACAATCACAAGAGTCTGAAGGAGCTCCTAATATATCCTGCACATTAACTCAATGCTTGGCCTTTTTCTTCCTGTTGTCCAAGGCCTCATATCACTGAGGTGTTTCCCCTGGCCATTACTACTTGAGCAAGGTCTTGCATCAAACTATACAGCTGGTAATGCACTTCACCTGACCTCTATTCCATGTCTTAAAAACAGATGCTATAACTTAAATAACATTGTTAAAGTCACTTTTACTTCTGCCTCTTGAGATGCCAGTCCTAACAGCATTAACTGCAATACTGCACAGTGTATGTGTACAAGCCATGGTTACCTTACAGTTCTTCCACCAGTACTTTCTTTTCAGCTTGGCTGCACTGGTCTCAAACTGGGAAGCTCCTGCTTGCAGTGCATCAGCACGGTCATCCAGCTCCGACAGCTTCTGATCACGCTCCAGCACCTTGTCCACGTTCACTCTCATGATGTCCACAACCTGCATCAGTTTAATGCTTAGTCAGTTATCAGTGGTATGACCCACTGTGGAGCTTAACTACAGGCAACAGATAACACACAGCTCTCTTAGTGCTCTCTTCTCAGAAGTAGGAACCTATTGCCTTTCAGTAGATCCAATCATAAGCTTTAAGAAATCCCATGTAGCTCACCTGTGCCTGGAAACCCCTAATAACTACTTTAAAAGGTCAGTACTGCCAGCTGTGCTGGCATTCCCTTAACATGGAAAAAAAATCCTGACTCTCTTCAGGAGCAGTTGAAGCATATAAGGGTGATAGTCAACTGCACATGAAAGAACACTGTCAGTAGCCAGCCTAGCGAAAAGTCAGGCTGCCCAGAGGTCTGCACGAGTCATATTTAGTGACCAGCCTCCATTGCTCCTGAGGAGAGAAAAGCATGTTCTCTGCAAGAAAAAGTTTTTATCTTGACTTATGCCAAATTCTTAAGCACTGAGTTTGAAGTTAATGTCTGGATACCAGTAGCTTCTTTCTGCTTCCCTACCCCAGCTGAAAGGATTTCTATTTTCTTTAATCTCTGCGAGAGTTAAGAATTAAGGTGACACAAGTACAATAAAGCAAGTTGAATGATACGAGGCTCCCCCTTTGTATAACAAAACCACTTTGGCCAAAACATCCCTTCTAGTTACACAGATTTCCTGAAGCAAAATTATTACACTACTGTCAGACTAGACTTTTACCTCATCTACTTGGTGTTGAGTCTGCTGGAGACGGCGATTACTGCCAGCAGCCACATTGGAGCTTCCAGGGACACTGGTCGACCTGCAGTACAGAAAGTCATCATTATCCTGCTTAGCTTTTCACAGGCCATGGTTTTGGTTTACAGTGGATATCCTTAAACAAGTTATCTGACACTCCTGAAAACAGGGAACTTGTACCCTTGGAATAAATATGGGGTAGTTTTGTGCTGGAGAAGTGAGGTTTTAACAGCTGTCAGTAGGTGTAAGCCCTGCAGTTCCCAACATCTTGCCAGTGAATTCCTTGATGCTAGAAGACAATTGTTTACACAAAATACTGAAACTTAATGGTTGCTCTAGCTCTGTGCTTTTCCAGAGGTTGCCTCTGTCTCTGTTCTTTTGAAACAGCTCACATGGAGCAAGAAAAAGTACAAGAAAGAAACAGCATTCAGCACAGGCAATAATTCACCTCTGGCCAGCTCTGAATGCATAACCTCAGGCACTCAAGTTATTTCTACCAGCTGCATCTTTGATATGGTGAAAAAGCCTCTGCACATACTTCTCTTTCACTACTTCACCGAGTTCTCATTGTATCTGTACTCAATTCACTTTTGTGTTTTCATTCCTCCTGCATCAAAAGCATCTGCTGTTTAGTGCATGCAGATACTCAGAAGAGCTGAATCTGAGCATCAACTGTATTTACACATTTGCACGTTGACTTCTAGTTTACATTTTGTGACAACAGTCGCATAAACACACAACGAGCAAACCAGGAAGCCTGTGACAAGGCTCAAGGGCAGCCCGTGTATAACACAATACAACTGCTCCTCTGTTTGGCACTTAAGTCACCGCCTCGTGCTGTTTCGCTGCTGGCCCCAGGCTGAAAAAGACTCGGAAATGACATCCCTTCCTGAGCGGCCGCTCCAGCAGCAATAACAAGACCTCCCACCAGAAGCTCGATCAGCGCTCCCAGAGACCCCCGGGCTGGCGGAACTCGGCCCGGGCCAGCG